GCGCCTGTGTCGGCATAGAGATCAGAGGGGTCACAGACCGACACCCAGCGGGGAGGAGAGAAAGGGTCAGGGGGCAGAGAGGAGAGAGCTCTCACAGGAGGCCAAGATCCCCTCTCACACCATCCCACTCGGCCTCCTGTGACAGAGTCGGAATACTGATCGCTGAGTGTTTTTAAATAACTGAGGACATAGTATGCTTACTGTGTACCCAGTTATGAATAAACAGGAAGTGCTACTTCCTGTTCATTCATGATACTATATCCACAGTTTATAAATGGAGGAGCACTCAATATATAGGCTTCCTGTTCATTCATAACGGGGGCTGCAGAAAAATAGATTTAGGATTTTGTCCTCCCAATCTTTTTTTCTATTTTAAAGGGAAATATCAGGAGTCTGTTTAGACCATTTTTTTTTTATTTTGGTTTCGGTCTAAAAATTTCATTTCGGTGCATCCCTAAATATGATATATGGACACATCCTTCAGGGCTCTCACAGCAACTTTAATAGGTCCCTCGAAAGAAATCCCATGGAAAGAAATAAAATTTAAACTCAAAGGTTGAACTTGAGACCACTGGGCCAGGCCAACTTTACAGCTATCCCTCCCTTCCCTCACATTTCTCTCTTTTTACCCACCTGTTCCATTCTTTTTCCTGTATCCTTCACATATTCCCACTGTTCACCTGGATCTATGGTAACAAGGTCCACAATAACCCAGTTACATCACTAGATCCGATTTGGTTGCCTAGCCTGGCTAGGCTATAGCATTCACAGCTAGGTCACTTATTTCAATATTAATTATTGTCACAACTACATTTCTATGACCCTTCTAGTGGTACCAAACGCCAAGGGAGCTCAATCTTCTCTACTTTGCAATACCACTGTTGGGTTTTTCCATCATTAACCTATTAATCCTACTGGGGCACAGTAATTGAATTAGTTATCCTGCTTTATTAACTTCTATATCCACAAAACTATTGTAACGCATTGTAGCTTAAGAGGTGTTTACTGTGAACCAAACTTCCTGGCAATCATAATGTTCTTTTAATTCAGTGATGAAAATGTATTGAACAGAAAATATATACGGACACATACTGTACATGGGTTTCTGTGTTTTTTTTATTTCCTGAAGTGAAAGCTAGAGTTTCACTTTAAAGAAGCAAATTATTGTTACAGGTTTCTATAGAATTGATAGCAGATGCTATACTTTGGTGGGATGCTCATTATAAAAAGAGAATAGTGTACCCAACACTTAGTATTCTTTATTATGTGTTCATCAGGTACATGACCCGGGTCCATGGTATGCATCCCAAGGAGATAACAAGGCAGCTTAGTCTCGCGGTTAAGGATGGACTGATAGTGGAGACACTAACAGTGGGGTGCAAGGGGTCAAAAGCTGGAATTGAACAGGAGGGTTACTGGCTACCAGGGGATGAAATCGTAAGTAGTAATCCTATATTCTAAACTATGTTCCTTTTCTAATATGGCCTTAATAATATAAAAGTGCTTTTGTGTTTTATGATTCTAGGAGGTATTCATGAAAAGATAACAAGAAACTTTTGGGCAAATGTTCACAGTATTGTATGATTGTGCTACAGGCTTGCTGCTGTAAGATGTGTGTGTGCGCATATTTTGTCTACAGCACTTAAATCTTGCTAAAAAAGATGGTTCAGAGGTCGCTTATGATCATTTAAGATATGATGGACTCCTAGTTGCCAGATTATACTTTTATACTTTTCTTTAGCTTAGAGTTGTCAGGCCAGTGAAAGTTGACTGCTCGCTGTCAATGCCCTTACTTTGTTCCTTGCCTTATTAACTACTTCAGGACCGCCCACTGTCAAAGTTCTGTCCTAAAGTAGTTATACCAAGAACTTGTTCTTGGTATCATTTTAAACAGCCGGAGGTGGCTGTTTAGATGGAAGCGATCGGTTGTACGGTGTGCCCCCCCCCCTCCTCCGCCGGCTACCCTGGGGGCCGCTGTCCCCTGTGCAGGCACAGGACCGGCACGGCGGGTCCCCCCGCATCGATTGCGGGGGAGATCAGCAAGCTGCTAGCCGCTGATCTCTCCTCCGATCACTGGACCCGGAAGTGATGTGTATTACTGTCACTGTGTACTTGTTAGACCCCTATGTGATAGCAATAAAGTTAAGTGTAATAAAAAAAATTAGTCACATATAAAAAAAAAAGTTTTTTTAAAAGTCCCCGTCCCCACATGCACACACATGCAAACGGGTGCAAATTTGTGCAAAAACGTATTTTGCATATCCCTTCGAACATTGGAGTGAGGGCAATAATTCTAGAGCTATCACTGTTAAAACTAAATTGATGAGCAGTCTAAAATGTCTCCTATGGGAATTTTTGGTATTGTAGTTATTTGTGGTTTCATGAGCGAACGCAATTTAACGCTTGATATGTTTAGTATCTATTTACTTGACGTGACCCCGTCTTTTATATTTTACCAAAAAATTGGGTATTATATTCTGTTTCTGTGCACTAAATGTCATTTTAGTGTATTTTATCCTAAAAATACTGGTTTGATAAACATTTGCGCAAATACCGTGCAAAATAAAAAATTGCAACTAGCATTTTTTTTATATATACTACAGGGCCTCTGCTTTCAGAAAATATATCATTGTTTGGGGGGTTTTAAGCTTTTTTCTAGCCAAAAATTCAGATTTTATCATGTGGGGGCAAATATTAGGAAATTGCTCCGGACAGCAAGTGGTTAAAGGGAGTTTGCTTTTTTTAGGAGCCGTCCTTGGCAGTTTGCTTTTTTTTTAATAGGGAAAATGACGCCATTTCCGAAAAAACTTATTGCTTACAAGTGTCCCATAGACGCAAGATATTTATCTCATAATCCGGCTGATTTTAACAATGTTAAGTGGCAAATGTATGACTGTGGGTTCCATACAGTTGTGCCACTCACTTGCTGGGTAAGGTCAGGGGAGGAAGTTCATCTGGATTGGGTTTCCTGGGGGTAACCCTGTTTTTTACCCCAAGAAAAACATGTGCCCAGGGGTTTAGATCTTACATACATCCATACACGCATGTTTAAGAACCAGTTCTCACAAATGTTCATTCCGCAGATCAATCTTTAATTGATTGCACTAAAGATGAAATTTCATCTTATGGTCATGATTAATGGCAACTAGGTAGTAGAAAGGTTCAGACCACGTACGTCCACTGTAGCTGTCAAAACTTCCAAAGTAATGAATCGGATGTAATCATTGCGGGTGGTTACAAAAATGAACAGCTGTCCTTGTTGTTGAACCACTTCTGCTATGGGCCTATTTATTTGGCAGTATTACTTAAAGCAATACATATATGATATTTTATTTTTTTTAAGATGTCAATTTTATCTTTTGGTGATATATGTATGACATGTATGGAAAAACAAAAAAGTTATTTACAAATAAAATAGAGGCTTTTTTTTTTTCTTTTCATGTACAAAAAAAAAGAATTAATAAAACCAAACAAAAAATGTTTTAATAAAGATGGTTACAAAAATTGTTATTAATGGTTAAAAAAAATAGCAGAAAAATTAAAATAATATATATATATTTTTTTTACAGGTTGCTTTAACTGGCATCATATGCAGATCGAAGCTCATCATTTGATCTGTAGATGGATGAAACAGTAGATACAGAAGAAACGATCTTTTATTTGCACTCGAACATTCTGTATTTGCTGGCAAGTGCATACGGGGGCCAGGGGATGTTAATCAGTGGGCCAGAAGGACCCACTATGATAATACAGAAAGCGAGATCTGGGAACTCATGGAGGGTAATTATCAAAATCTGGAGCATCTGTGCCTGGCAACTAATCAGCCTCTCTCTTTCATTTTCAAACCTTTAGGCCTGGTTCACACCTGGGCGTTTTACATTGCGTTTTCATGTGAAAACCAATAATTGCCTATGGGCATGGTTCCCACCGTAGGAACCCGCTGTAAAACGCCCTACGCTTAAAGAAGTACAGGAGCTTCTTTGGGGCGTATTTGCCGCGGGTATCCATTAGGATACAGCCGGATAGCCCTTGGAAACGCGTGTTTGTCGCGCGTTTCTTTTACCGCAAATGGCGTTAAAAACGCCCAACATGAAACGCGCGGCAAACGCGCATATTCCGTACGCCCGTGTGTGTACCCAGCCTAAGTGCTAGTTCACACCAGCCCCAGTGGGTTTTCGGCACGATTCGTTGCTGGATCGCATCCCGGCCGGCTCCCTGCGTTTTGGGGCAGGAGGGGGCTTGCCGGTGTATTAAAGTCATTGGCACCGCAGTCACGCCCACCACCCACCGGCCGCAGTGCGATCACCTGAACGCGTGGCACATCAATGCCCGTGTTTCCGATTCGGTGCGGTTAGAAAAATGCTGCATGCACTATTTTTTCTGTCTGCTCCAGACCGAAACGCAGGCATTGATGTGTCCACGCCCCCTCCCGTCCCAGAACGCAGGGAGCTGTCCGGGATGTGATCCAGTGAGAAGCTTGATTGGTTACTACAATGTTAGCTCTAGATTCTGTCTACTCCAGTTTTTATAGATTCCCCCCTAGAATATTTCAATATAAAAATAAATCTTTGACTGGAACTTAATATGACAGATTTTAAAAGGTATATTTTACTATATAATTAATGGTGTTCCTAGATCTCGTTTTTTTTTTCTAATACCTGCACTTATCTGAAAGTGTTTCTTCAAATAGTGCGAATTTACGCATCAAAATTCCATCTACACAAACCCGTAAGTTAGAATCAAACAATGTAAAGTGGGCTTTTACCCCCTTTCACTAAAAATCACATCAGTGTGCAGTACACTAAATGTGAAATTGTAGTCCATCATATGACTGAGCTTGGAGCGGTGACTACTTTACAACACACACAGGGACCATGGTGAACAAAAGTAGCCACCCTCCAGAAGGAAGGGCAGTGTCGGCACCAATTCAGAGATGATTTGAGGATCTCCAGCCGAATGATACACAAATAAGATACAATTTTGTTAACAGGGCATTTTCAAGATTTACCTCCTGAGTGTAGAGTCACTTTAGGCAATGCAGCTTGGTTGCTAACCTACCCACACTTATAACATTCTGCAAGCCCTGCTGTCTTCTCTAGTGTGCAATACAATAGATCCGGATTGGCTACACAGTGCGTCCCCTCCCTCCTGCTAAAGGTGCCCATACACCTTACAATTATCGTACGATAATCGTATGCGATCGACTTTTCGTACGACAATCGTAACGTGTGAATAGAGTGCACGACCGATAGTAGTGTACAATCGTACGACTTTTGACGCTCAAGCATGTTTGAAAACTTTGGTCGATCGTACGATGTTCGCATGGTTGGTGGCGTTTCCGTTCGTCAAAAGTCGTACGATTAACACTGCGCATGTGCAAACGAAAATAATTGCGGTCAATTACTGCAAGTCGTCCAGGTGTTTTTTCCCAACTACCGCTGATTGAACCTTTCAATAATCGGGGCAGGATGGGGCCGTCGTACGAAAATTGTACGACGGTTCGATTATCGGACGGAAATTTTCGTCCGATAATCGTAAGTTGTATGGGCACCTTAATTCTGCTCTTTAGTTTGTAACAGGAGGCCAATATAAAGACAAGTTAGCACTATGTTGTTGGTTTTTTTTCCTCCTCTGGTTTACTTGGCCTTTTGAAGTGTTGGATCAGTTCCTAATTGAGATATATATATATATATAAATAGACAAGCAGCTGAAATGTATGCAACTAGAATATGTCACCACCTATCTAAGATCTGGGCTGGGTGCTAAATAAACAGGATAGACCCATATTACAGCCACACATACGTACGAACTTACATTCACTCTGACACAGATCTACTGCAGAGGCAAGGTAATTGTATTTGTCCATCGTGTTTTAAAATAAGCTTTAGTAAAAAAAAAAAAAGCTCAAAATGGCTCCTTTTTGCTTTTCAAACAAATTATGTTATTTTTGCTTTTCCTTTTGTTCCTGTTTGTAATGTGAGAGTTAAAGTGAACCTGCTCTTTACTCGTATAGGTTAAGCACAAGATTGCTTTAAAACATTGCTGATTTTAGGTTAAACTCCAGGCAGATGACAAATTTGCTCCAGTTCAAAAACTATTCTGTGTATTTGAATACTGTTGATTTAATGAACTATTATCTTCACAGCTTGGAAAAAAGGTGAGAGAAGGACATTCTGCTGTTTTGTTCTGTTTCATTTCACAATGGGAGGTGTGCTGGCAGCTTACAGGCGACACAATACAAGGAGAACCTTGCTACTCTGATGAGTCCTCAGTCTTTTCTCCAGAGAGGATAGAAGGCAGGGACCCAATACAGGAAGCTGTATAAGGGTTCGTTCACTATATGTGGCAACTGAACAACACCAGTCACCGCTAGGGCACATAGAAAACAACTGAATGGTGTTGATACTTGTATGCTGACAGAATGGATCCTGTCTGCGTCCGAGCAGGCACACCCACACGGACGTGCATTTCGGGTAGCGTACGGCCACATACTCCCATAGAGAAGAACAGGCTGCTGCGCACGAATCACATGCAGCACCTGTCCTTCCCCGGAGCGGCCCGATACAGACGTGCATGCAGCATGGATCTATAAGGGCCGGCTGTTAGTCATGTGAATGAGGCCTTGGGTATCATGAACTTAACATCATAGACACCTTTTTTAAAGCAGATCTAAAGTAAGAAATTGACTTTAGTACCACCCTCTCCAGGTGCTCGCTAAGATGCTCTGATTTGTCTTGTCTGCACATTTAGTCTTCATTTGCCTTAGAGCCACTGTAGGACATTATGCATGTGTGTCTAATGGATGGTTTTTGGTAACGCATACACTTGAAATATCCCTCTTATAACCATTTACCATCCTGTATCTTGTGGGGTCTAAAATATTCCTTATTTTTGTATAAAGCAACTTTTTTTTTTGAATGTAAGCATTGTATTAACCCCTTCATGACTGAGCTTGTTTTTGGTTTCTGTTCGTAAATGACTGACACACTTTTGACATTTTTGCTGTGTGATTCTTCCACGTCAGTAATATACTTTCTTACAAAGTATGCAATAGCAACTTGGCAACTGGGAGTCTAGGAAATAAAAATGTATGGCAATACCAAATCTGGCTAGGAGGCTTACTAGTTCAGCGCTGATACTAGAAAATTAAGTCCCACTTTTCAGGGGCATTTGGCTACACTAACTATCACATCACATTACATTTAAAAGCCATATATGTCCCCCCTAAAAACTTTATTTTAAAGTAAATTGGTCTCACCTTGTCCGCATCACTAAGCATATGATGCAAAAATACATATTCAGAGGTAACTGAAAGCTACATTTGACAAAATATACATGGATCAAAATATAGATAGTAGATAAAGGAATGTTTAAATTTTGACTTTTCTCGTAAAGGTTGACCTTGTTCGCACCCCTGCCCACATCCAGGACTCCGCATTGATTGATTATTTAGAGTGACGTACGGCCCATAACGTTAACAGCCTGTGTCGATGGGCTTTAGGCATGTGTTCATTACATCAGCTGGAGATGCTTCTGAGATCATCCACAATTCATTAACGGGTTCATTTGACCTGCAGTAGACGTCCCTCTTAACATGCATTTGGCCTGCTACAAACAGGATTTGCACCCCCATAGACTTGTATGGGAAAGCAAAACCCATTTAAACGAACAAAAGCCCATTGACACCGTGCCTTAGGCATCTGTAGGGACGGGGTGGGACAGACGTCAACTTTTATTTAAGAAAGTTAAGATTTGCATATAATCTTAGCTGATTATGTGGATGATTTGTTTTTCCATGATATTCTCAGTATGAATTACACAACTTAATGGCAAGTTTACCTTTAAAACTGAACTCTGGGCATAAAAAATTGTAGCCTGCTGCACTTTCTCTATAATATGCTTTACAGTTATTTTTAATAGTAGAAAGACCCTCATGAAGTTACCCAAATCTGCCATCACATGACCGTCAGCACTGTCTCTTCTGGCGATGGAGACTGGTCAGGGCAAGCTGCTCTCTGTGTGGGTCTTCTTGTCACCCCTCTCATTGTGATGTTCAGTTTGGGTTTACTATCTATTCCACATCATCAGAATGCAATGCAGGCTCTGCCAAAAGCACCCTCTCACAGTATATTGCTAAATATCTGAGGATTGTGATGCAACCTGTCACATGACAGCACTTTAAGGTATGATATTGGGCTCTTACCTTTTGGGGGAAAAATAAAGAAGAAATCAAAATAATAGAATGCCTAGGAGCTGCTGGAGTAATAAACAATGTTTTGTTTTTATGACTTAAGTACAGCTTTAACACTAATAGCATTAGTGTCGACCCTCCCCCC